CATCCCCTTCGAGATCTCCCTCTGGATCCTCCTGGCCTGCCTCATGAAGCTGGGTAGGTGGGCGGCGTGGTGAGGGGGTCCGTGGGAAAGGGCCTCCCGCCGAGCATCCCGGGGTGGGACCCCCGGCCGGGTGGGACAGACACCCCCAGCCATCCCAAGGAGTGGCTCCTGTGAGCATCCCGAGGAGCGACATCCTAGGGAGAGACCCTCTGAACATGCCAGGGTGGGACCACCCCAAACATCCCAGTGCAAAATCCACCGCACATCTTCTGCAGAGCTCCCAGGCCGGCCGGGCCGGGGTGGGCACTGCTCTCCCCGCGACCTTGGCTCTCTGTCCTGGGCCTGGTGGACGGCAGCATCCCGGTCCCTCCACTCCCGCCTGGGACCGGCCTGGGGATGCTGCTGACCCTGCTTGGACCAGGTCTGCTCTCCTCTCTGTGACACCCAGGGAGGAAGCACCCCGTTTGCTCACTTCCTCCCTAACCACAGATGCTTTCTGTAACCTTGGAGAAGTCCCTCAGAAGCCTCCCGGTGCTCGGCCTCCCCTTCCTCCCCGTCCGCAGCAGCAGAGCGGGGCGGCTTTGCCCGTGCTGCACAGCGTCCCGAGGTTCCCGCATTAGAGAGAGCGGCTGGGGCTGGAAAAGGCTGAGCCCGGGCTGCCCCGCTCCGGAGAGCATCACAGCATCCCTCTGCCGGGGCGGGGGCTGTTGACAAAGTGTTTTCCAAACTTCTGCAGCTGGATCAATAGCAGCCGAATTAGCCCAAACTGTGCCGCGGTGGAGCCTGCTGTGCTGTCCCCGGCAGTGCAGAGGTTGAGCTGGCCCTGCTCCCATCCCTGGTGATACAGCCGGGGGACAGGTGGAGTGTTTGCCTTGGAGCAGGTGAGGAGGGAAGGGAGCTCTCTGCTCCTTCATTTTGCTCCTCAGTTGCCATCAGTGGTTTGATAGTGTTCACTTATGGGGCGCTGCAGCTTGCTGAGGGAAATCTTGCTTTGGGAGCTTTCTAAAGCTGGTTCCTGTTGTAAACTGTGCCCTGTCCTGGTCTGGAGGGCTCTGAGAGACCCCCAGGACTCAGATCCTTCCTGCCCAGCTGCTCCTCACATACCCCATCCCCTCTCCGGCCCGCTGAGCGTGCGTGGGCAGGTGCAGCCCCATTCCCACAGTGCCTCCCGAGCGCTTTATTTACGTGCAGGCAGAGGAGTGAGAGCACTTCAGACCCGCAGGCTTGTCTGGGAGACAGGCAGCGAGGACAGGCTGGAGCCAGGCGGGNCCAGGCAGGACCGGAAGCCTGGGGTGCAGCGCCAGCCTCTGCTCCCACTGCACACACAGAGTGACTCCCACCTGCAGCTCTGCACTTTCCCCTGCTCTCTGTGGTCACGGCACTGCAGGGCACAAACGGGGCTTTCGCAAGGCTAAACCCACAGTCAAAAATTAACAAGGCACACATTGCCATGGGCTCCAAACTGGGCAGGCTCTGTTGACACTGACAGCCACTGAAAAGCCCCTTAAGCTCCTGGGAAAGTACACTTCCAAAGGGTACTCCAGGGCATGGAGAGGAACACTCACGCCGAGCCTGCAAACAAAACCTCCACACTGATAACACAAATAATTCCATCAATTTAACATCAAACGCTCCCAATGCAGCCTGGATTTGGGGGATTGCTCCTTGGCTGGATTGTATTTCCCTCTCACAGAACCACCTGAGCACCTCCCACCCACAGCAACACAGGGGGGCAGAGCCCCAGCCCTGGCACCAGCACCCTTTGGGAAAGCTCCATCCGCCCCAAGGAGCTCCCAGAGCAGCAGGGCTCCCAAAACCAGCACTTTCTAACAAGCAACCTCATTCCTGACTGCCTGCATGTGCCCAAGTGTCTCAGGCTCCACACTCAAGGTCACTGGAAAAAAGCAGCACTCTGCACACCACAAGCCTCTGGGTACACAGCTCATCCCAAGGGAGGATTCCTTAGACCCTTCCCTTCAGTACCTGTAAATTTTTTCACCCCTGCAAACACCACTCAGAACCCGCCCTGAGAGGCTTCTTTATCCTCACAATTTATTTCCCTGCCCTCTTTACCTTGACTTTCCAAGAGGTCACAGATCGAATTAAAATACTGTCCCTCATAAGCGTAGATAGCATTATTTTTTAAGGAAACCTTTAAAACCAAGAGGGAATGCCTGGCTAGCAGCAAACACCTGGTTAAAAGAAGGTTTTTCTCAGCTGAAGGAGCTCCCAGGACAGATGGCTGGAGCAGGGAGCAGGAGAAGGGGTGAGAGGGGAGCCCTGGCAGGGGCAGCACAGGGGAACTCTGGCACACTCGGGGCACTCAGCGCTCACAGCTCAGCCCTCCCACTGCAATCCGGCCTCCCCTGACCCCACGCTGACACACCACGGGAAAAGGGAACAGAACAGAGAACCCCAGCACCAAGATCCACACGGGCCAGCAGCTCCAGAGGAGAGGCTGACCCCCTGTCCAAGGAAAGCGGCTGCAGCACACCCAGCAGGGCAGGGAACAGCTCCGGACAGGGGACAGAGAGCAGAGGAGGGAGCAGGGCAGGGTCACACCCAGGAGAGGGAGAGGAATGAGAGGACAGGGCAGCGCCAGGTTGGGAAGGGGAAAGGAAGCAGAAAGCAGGAGCTATACCTGGCAGGGGTGGCACCAGCAGGAACAGGCTCTGGGGAAATGGGGGCGAGGGGCTGCGGTGGGAAGATGGATAAGGGAGAGATCCCTAAAGGCAGTCAGACTCCTGGGGGAGAAGGGGGTGACACCTCGGGGGAATAAGGGGACAGCAGACAGAGCCTGGGGTGGGGGGAACTGATGGGAAAGACAGGGGTGGGGGAAATGTCAGGAAAGGGAGGCAAGGGGGACAGCGGAGAGGGAAGGGGGCTCGTGGGGATGCAGCTGTCAGGGAAGGGGTTGGGGCCTGCAGGGCAGGCAGCTGACAGGGAAGGGGNGGAAGGGAGCAGGGCTCCCTTCGCAGGGCTCCCTTCGCCGTGGCACTGCCCCTTCAGCGCTGCTCCCGGAGCAGGGAGTGATGAAATCAGGAATATCTGTGCGGAAGCTGGAGCAGAAAGGAGGGGCCAATGGCCCGCGGGCCTGCCGGGGAAAGCTGGCAAACAGCAGGGCGAGCAGAGCTCAGGGGATGGAGGAGAAAGCTGGCAAACAGCAGGGCGAGCAGAGCTCAGGGGATGGAGGAGAAAGCTGGCAAACAGCAGGGCGAGCAGAGCTCAGGGGTTGGAGGGGACACCCAGCACCCTGTGCCACTGCTGCCATGGGGAGGGGACACCCAGCACCCTGTGACTGCTGCCATGGGGAGGGGACACCCAGCACTCTGTCACTGATGCTGTGGGAGCTGCTCCTGCCTGCCTTGCCCGCAGCCAGGGCTCCGTGGTGCTGCTGCTGCAGGAAAAGTTGTGGCTGCTGGCTGTCAGCTCTTTGATGCTGTACAAGTCTTATGCAAGACTGCGTGTTTCGAGGGGGGTATTTGAGGAGAGGCTGCCCTGCAAGAATGGCAGAGGTGGCAGGTGCTGTGCAGAGCTCCAGAGGTGTTGGGTATGCCAGAATCCACACCTCAGCTTACCCTCAGCTGTGGCAGGGCCTTGGCACAGGGCAGTCCCGGGACACCCCTTTCCTTGGCCTCCTTTCCTCGCTTTGCATTCTTGTCATGCTGCCTTGGCAGGTAACTCCCAAGTGGCAGGTACAGCTCTCTGTGCTTGTGAGCAGCCAAAGCCCTCTCACTGCTCTGTGTTCCTATCCCAATCCCATCCTTCCTGCCCTGCATCACGGGGTGCTGTTCAGCAGCAGCCAAACAGGCTTTTTCCATGCAGGGATGGCTCTTGCACAGCTGGGCACTGCTGGCAGCCCAGCCTGGAATGGCAGGATGGGGCTCACACAGCCCAGGCTCCCTACACCAGACAGGCTCTGCAGCATCCCATTTCCAGCAAGGGAACAAGGGGGGTGATAAATAGAACAGGATTTTGTGCTTCCTCCTTCTCCCCACACCATCAGTGTGCATTATTGATGCATCAGGGTGATCCTGGGGGGACCAGCATCATCTCTTTCCAAGAGCAGGAATTCCCAGGGTGTGGGCTGTGCATGACAGCTCAGCACCTCCTGCCTGTCCCCTGCAGCCCCACAGTTCTCCTTGCTGGCTGAGGCTGCTGATTGAGCCACAAGTTGCTCCAAAACTGAGTCTTCAGCCCTGTGAGTCACTGCAGGGTGTCACCCACCCTCGGGCCGTGCAGGGTGACCATGTTGAGGAGCCCAGGAATACTCCCAGGGCTCTGCTCTGCAGCCTGACCTTGTCCTGTTGCTCAGCTTCCCCCTGTTGCTCTTGATGCTTTACACAGCTCTTCAGACTGAAATGCATCCAGGGGATTTGTCCTTTCTCCAGCAGCTCTCATGGTGGGTTTGTTTGGGGAATGAGAGGTGTGAGCTGAGTCCTTCCCCTTTGCTGCAGATTTTGTGAAGTGTCTCAGAGGAGTTGGTTTGTGCAGGATCCCTCACCGGGCAGGGCACAGGGGATGTGTGTCCCCAGCATGTCCTGCAGGCGTGGGCTGTTCCTGCTGTGTTAATCCCGCTGCAGAAGGGGAAGCTGCTGCTGGCTGCTTTGCTTAATACTCACACGATATTTTGGGCTGAGTAGGGGAAGAGGGAGCGAGGGGCAGCTGCAACCATGTGCAGATCAGGTCTGGTGGTGGCCTGGCTTTGCCAGGAGAAGCCTTTGCAGCTGCAGGTTGCAGCCAGTCGTTGTCCCAGCCTGTTGTGCTGTTGCAGAAGGCCAGACCTTGCCAAAACCCCAGTCAGGAGCTCCCTGTGCCCTTCTCCAAGGTGTGCAGGGCTGTTGTGAGGCTCCTTCACACCATGCCCAGGGAGAGGCTGGTGAGCTGAGGGGATTCCCTGCAGGAAAACCTGCTCTCCTCTCTCAGGATTGACCTTTCACCTCATGTGGCTCCCAGAGACGTTGAGGGGAATTCAAGTTGGACTGTAAATACATCCTCGTTTCAGGGGAAAGGGAGGGAGTGAGTCAGGAATGTAAATAACAGATTGTGGTCA